CGGCTCCTGGAGTCAACATCTTGGTGATGAGGCAGAGGAAGGGCTTCGTCAGGGTGGCCCTGGAGTTTGGGTGAGAGAAAACACACATTAAAGGTCCCGTATTAAACGTTTTTTCATCAATATATTATAGGTCTCAGATATATACAAAACATGTCTCTGAAGTGTTTGGCTCCAAATACCAAACAGATCATTGCAGCATCCCATAATCCCCTCTGTTTCAGCCCTGTTTCCAAAGTGCTGATTCTCTGTCTGTTACTTTAGATGAAAATAAGTTGCCACTCCCCACGCCCCTCTGAGAGATATTTGGTTAAAAATAACAGAATAGGCGCTTTCACATCGGAGTACTTTTCCCCGTACTTTTCCCTCTCTAGGAGGAGATTCTGGTGATAAGGGGGGGGGGGGTTACTTTGGTTGGTGATTGGCTAATGGTTACACAAGCCAAAAAATCGTTATGACATCATTAAGTAGCCAAAATCTGATCAGCTCATTTTCAGACAGGTTTTTATATAAATGGATGAGGACAAAAAGTGAGAGAATCTTTTTTCCCGAAACTTTCAGAGTCTCTTTACACAGAGGGGACACATGTTGATGTAGAAGAGACAGGAAGAAGAGGGGACACACGTTGATGTAGAAAATACATGAATAAGTGGAATTTGCATTATAGGTGACCTTTAAATACCAGCAGTGGTGAATCTGAAACATTTTACTCTGCCAACGACTGAAACTAGGTCGACAGCTGTCGACCTAGTGTGTACTGTGTATTGGCCCCCTGGCCTGACAACCGCCCATGAATAGTTATCAGTATCATTCTTCTCACAGTTTGTCACAGTGATATTACCTCTGATGATCTTCCACAGGGCTGATCTGGTGCCAGTTTACGCATTTGGGGAAAACGATCTCTTTAGGCAGGTGATTCTCTCAGAAGGCAGCCTCGGGCGGAGGTTACAGGAACTTTTTAAAAAGATCATGGGTTTCGCCCCGTGTCTATTCGTTGGAGAGCACATGGGTATCCTGCCCTACAGGAATCCCATCACTACTGTTGGTGAGTGTTTCATCTTTGTGTTCATTAACATGGTGGTAGTTTTTTTTTTATTCTAACGCTCTGGCTTCTTTCAGTGGGAAGTCCAATCTCAGTGCCGAAGCACATCAAAGTCACCGAGGAGGAGGTGGACCACTTTCATAAGCTTTACATGGAGGCCCTCTCCAAGTTATTCCATGAACACAAGGTCAGCTGTGGACTCTCTGAAAGTCACGAGCTCCGGATCATCTAGACCAGTGGCTCTCAACTGGTGGGTCGCGACCCTGTTTCGAGTGGGTCGCAGATGTGAGGGGTTTTTTTTCGGAAAAAAGTCAAACTTTTATTTTGAAGGACCGATTTTCTAACGCTGTGCGTTATGCTGTGCAATGCGTTGGACTGGACGTACCGGAGACCCTAAACGGTTTTGGAAACTTCTGTCACGTAGTGATCATCTTCTCAATAAAACATCTTTGCTGATATTTTTTCGAGTCTTCTTGCCAATCAGAATCAAGATTGTTGCCGGAAGTCCCCACGGGGAATAACTCTGCGGTAGAACTATTCTTTATACATCCATGGGTACAAGTACAACTTCAGATAAAAATGAGCACATAATGAAATATGACCCCCGGTTTGATGATCACAGAACAATGGGAGCTATCTACCCTTATCCACAATTTAAAGTAAGTCACACAGACTATCTCCTCTTTGCTCTTCTCTCTGTGTGGAGCAGCAAGCTGTCAGAACAAAGTGAAAAACAAACAATGGCATAAAATATTAATATGTCGGGTAGTAACACATCTACTTATTTTCTTCTCAGAGTGTACCAGAATGCGTAGTTTATATGTTAGTATTTCAAAAAATCTCCTGGACCCCAGACCCCCCTGCTGCGGTTGGGTTTTCAGCATGTGTGCCTTTTTATGTTATACAGTTCAGCTTTGATTCCATCATCTCATTAAACCTTATTTAAAAGCATTCTTTAGTTCTGTGAAGGGATATAAGGGATATATATGCACTATACTTCACTTTAATCAATATTGTATGCTGAAAGGCGTATATATTACAGCACGATTTTTTGTTGAATAGATTTGAGTGGTTCAAAATTTCAGGTCACGATTTATTGACAAAGGAAAAAGTGGGTCCCGAGGCCTGACCAGTTGAGAACCACTGATCTAAACAATTAACTTTCAAATGTAATAGCTGTTTTTAGTTGCTGCTTTTGTGTGGATCCGATACTCTTAAACAACATTGATCCAGCAGGTGTTTTGGTTCATATTGTGAATGTATGGCTGTAGTTTTTGAAGGTATCTCATGTGAATGTGCCTTTGATTATTCAAATGTGAAGCCCATTAAGCATGTTCAGAAAGCAGTGTAAACATTGATGTCTTCATGAAAGTACATTTCTAATGTTATGACACAATACCAGGAACTTTGAGTGTGAAACAATAAATTAAATGAATGCGTGTTTGCATGCTTGCTAAAGACGAGCATCCTGGTATATTTGATGTATTTTGTAGAACCCAACTAGATGAGACTGTGCTGCAGCTGTGACTTACATATAGTACAATCAGGACCCACTGCAGAATGGGCACTTGGCCGTATTGAATACTGAATATTTCTCGCACCACTGCAAGGACAGCTGTGCAGAGAAAAGGGCCAGCATGCATGTAGTTGAAACGTTCGCCCAGCAGAGGGCGACCATTCTTCACATCGTCTTCACTTTCACTACCCAGAAGGCTTTGGGGTCTGGAGACATGCAAGGGAGAAAATCATTTACATCTTGTTGAAATTAGATCAATTGATAACCAAAATTAATGCTTGCAAAATGTAATCATCTGAATATTAAATATTAGCCAATATCAGTGAGCACAGTTTGTATTCATGCTTACCTAGTTTTGAGATCTCATACATTTCATGAGGAATGTTTTCTGTATGCTTTGGTTGCTTTTGCATTTCTCTCTTAGTTATTTGATTCAAAATTAAATACATATTAATTAGGCAGCAGAAGCTCAGTCTGTAGGGACTTCGCTAGGAACTGGAGGGTTGCCGGTTCAAGTCTCAAAAAGACCAAAGTAAGTAGTTTGGACTGGCACTTAAAAGCGGTCCCAGTTCACCTGTGGTGCCCTTGAGCAATGCACCAAACCCCCACACTGCTACCCTGACTGCGCTGTATGAGAGCTGTTATACTAGGCTGCTAATGCTAATAGTACTCGGATGGGTGAAATGGTTCTGTAAATGCAGAGGTTAGTTTTCAGTGTGTGCAGTGTAGTATACATGTGTGACAATATAGAGGGTTTCATCTTATTAATACTTGAACACAACTTTATTTAGAAGCCAGTTTACAGCAGGAGTTTGTTCTTGTTGCACAATAATTACAAAACAAAATATTAAAAAGGGAAAGGAAAGAATCAAATTGACCACAAAAAGCAACAAGAACACAACACTGGTAACGAGTGAAGACTGGTAGCGGAGGGAACATCCTAAAAGAAGTCCATATCATCCGGGGCGTCCAGGTCACGGTATTCAACGATGTTTCGTGGATCACCGCGAGACATCCTGACGAGGGTGAGCCCAGGAAAGAAGAAGAAGAAGAGAAATGAGAATACAACAAGAGGTTCAAAATACTTCCATAACAGCAGGAGAAAAAACCAAAATAAAGATCAGACGTACAGAAGTCTCACCTGAGGTTGCGTGGCTTGCCCAGGTAGCCACCTTGTCCTCTGAAGTTGTCGTAGTTTCCTCTTCCACCTCCGAACTGGTTGGGGGGGTAGGGAGGGGCACCTGGTGAAAATAAACATCGATGGATAAAGAGTTGAGATCCTTTACTGAAGTTAAAAATAATACTACACTGTAAAAATACTCCATTACAAGTCAAAGTATTGCATTAACAGAAAGAACATACTCAAGTAAAGTCCCTCCAATGTGTACTTAGGTGCAGTACCTTGTCGTGTAAAATGATCATATAATCATTTAAAACATATAGTCTTATACTCTGATTTACTTTTACACTGTTAAATTGTATTTTTAGTCTTGTGTGTGTTTAACAGAGACATATGTTACATTTCAGGAGGGCAAAGGAATTGTAAGAGGGGGATTTGCAAATGATTAAGGACGAGGGGGTTTTATGGATTAATGGTGGGGGATGTTTCGATGATGCCTAAGGGATTTAAGGCTATTCTCTACGATAGAGTGCCGCAGTGACGCGTCCTAAAACCCGGAAGTAAACTCCTTCCGGTTCCTTCGACAAAAAGCAATGCAATTTCTCCACAGGATTTTGGAAAATAGCTGGAAATAAGGTCTGTGGTTGAGACACATTTAAGAGACAGATCAAGTTTTGCTCAGCCGGATAATATCCACATCTACCCTACTCAGTGTTTCCCCAACCATTGTCTTGACGGGGCCCTGCGGAGCCCTGCCTGAAACTCAAGGTGTTTTTTATTTTTTTATTTAAAAAACAAAATATATATATAGCACCAAATTGCAACTGAAGTAATCTATCTACGGTCACTTTTCACATTGAACATATGCTCTTTTATTAAATAAACTAAATGCCTATGTTATTTATCCAATGTTTGTGCATGTTTCAGTGTCCACTGCCTTGCGTATTCACATTCTCCCTCCGCTCTGTTTCTGAAGGGCGGGGCTAACAGCGTCTAACAAGTAACATGTAATGTAAAAAAGAAGGGAATACAGTTTGAATAAAAGTAATAAAGTACAGTGTAACACTGTACTTTATTACTTTTTAATGTACAAATACTTTGTTACTGTACGATATCAATAACAATAATCCACAGCTCCTCTCTCTGCTCCAGAGGATAAAAGATATTGAAAATAAAAATAAAATAAAATTGGCAGCACCCTGCCAAGGCAGTAAACCTAGGGGAAACACTGCTACTTTTATAATTTTTAATCGCCAGAAGCAAAATGCTAACGTTGTGCTATAAAGGAACTACATCATGAAAGACCTCAAGCAGAACAGGGCAAACAAACTCAGAGGAGTGTTTACGTGTTTGGTGTAATGACGTACAACGGCCTCGACAACTTCTGGAGTCCTATTCAGCCACTTGGTAACAACCATCGTTTTTCAGACACGTAAACTCTTCAGAAATCACCAGTGGGGTCACTGCTGATGGATTTAATGTTGTAGAACAAAACGTGATCCGTCTCTTAAAATGTGTCTCAACCACAGACCTTATTTCCAGGTATTTTCCTAAATCCTATGGAGAAATTGCATTGCTTTTTGGCGAAGGAACCGGAAAAATGAATGCTAACTTACTTCCGGGTTTTAGGACGCGTCACTGTGGCACTATATAGTAAGCTGTGTTCTGGGTGCAAAGCCATTTTTTCCTTTGAGGATGAAGTCGCTCTGTTCCTGCATTTGAGATCGATTTCACTTGTATATTGACTTTCTGTATTACTTTATTAAATATAACAAAAGACAAACTTTGTCCATTAATCATTTATCAGTTNTTGCCCTGTTCGCTTGAAAGCAAGTACCTGTCTCCTGCAACTGTGAAAACAAACGGTCAACTTGTCCATTTAAACTGTATTTTGAATACGGAGCTTAAGTTGCTGAGTTGAAGCAGCGACCTGCGATTCTTTATAGCATAACGTTAGCAGTTTGGCTTCTGGCGACTAGATTTACAAATTTAAAAAAATGATAAAGAGGGTAGAACATGTGGATATATCCGGCTGAACCCAAAGAGATCCGTCCTCTTAATGTTCGCAACCACAGACCTATTCAGCCTATTTCAAAATCCTAATGGAGAGATTCGCAGCTTCGCTTTTGTCGAAGTAGTATCCTCCTTCTGGGTTTTAGGAACGCGTCCCTGTGGGCGGCTCTATGGTGCCACTCACCACTGATCATAAAGCAGCTGCCGCGCTCATCGCCTGGAAAAGTCAATCATAGTAAATGCAGAGTCAAGGCCACACAGGTTAGAAATAAATCAAGCGATGATGAGAACAGCACTCATCATTTAAAACAGCAGTCAGACCAAAAAAGAGCAGTGGAATTAAATTGACACGATTATGAAAATTCATTCTAAAAGAAACCGTTTATAATTCAAAAGCCGTGACAAAACACAGATTCGGATAATTTTGCTCCACCTTACCTATAAAGATCCAGTGCAGCTCTTCATAGCCGCCTCTGTGCTGACAAATATTTAGGGAATCTGAATTTGCCTCAGATCGTTGAGATTTGAGGTCCCGTCAGATACCTGGAGAGAGGACGCGAAGAGATGAGAATGAGTGGAGAGTCAGAGACTGCAAATAAATCAAATGTAAAGGCCCATGTCACGGCCATTTCTAGCTGATCACAATTCCATTGTTGAGGTCTACTAGAATAGGTGGGAAAACCGCAACTCGTCCAGATGAAACCTATAAGAAAATGCCGGGAACCGGACCCATACAAAACAAAATACACAATTTCGGTTCTGCTTAACGGTTCCTAAACCGGTAGACCACTGTATTCCAGCCGGGTCCTCTGCGCCGTGTGTGTGTGTGTGTGTGTGTGTGTGTGGGGCGGACTGGCCATCTGTAGAATCTGGAGAATCACAGAACGGCCGGCTCGGTACGCTGACGGCCGGCACCGCCCTTAACGGCATCATGTAAGTTGCGCTGACAGGCAACAGAGGTCCACAGTTGCCCCGCAGCGAGGCTCCCCCCGCCCTCCCGTAGACAGTTCACGAGCTCAGTCACTTCATAACACCAAAGATGGGTCGCGGTAAACGCTCTAAAGTGAGGCTCCACTACACTAAAGACAAGGCACAGTGTAATGCCGCCTGTTAATAGCTTGCCACAGGCATAGCTCAGTTAAAATAAAGCACAGCTATTGTGCAATACATTTGTATTGCATGTATATTTTTTATTTGTAAAAATGTCAGTTAAAGCTTAAAAGAATAAAGATATTTTTGTTATATAAACGTTTGACCTCTTTCTTTTACAATTTTGGAATCGAAACGGGGAAACGATAAGAACTGGAATCGATAAGAACCGGAATCGATAAATTTCAAACGATACCCATCCCTAACAAGAATAGATTTATATTGTGCAATTTTCCCAAATCTCATTGGTTTCTCATACAGCATCTCAGAGTCTTAACGTAACGGCTCCATTTGGACCAATCCACGGAGGGGTCGTCGTTACGTCACTTGGTTCCCGGAAGAAAAAAATTGAAAAAGAGAAATGTCCGACGAGGCGTTCTGGGGCAGCACAGACAGGTCTTTTTTCTGTGTTAGAGTTTTACTCCCTACAGGATGTACTTTGAGGGTTTGTGACTCTGCAGACCGTTTACATGCAGAAAAACCTTCATAACACACAAGGGGGTAATAACCAGGAAAGCATGACATGGGCCCTTTAAGTTTCATGTGCAGTTGGTGTTGGAGAACAAGCCATCAGGTGATTGAAACAAAGTTCCTCCTTTTGGTAACAGAGATTTTACTCAGTACATTTCATATGAATCCAAAATGTTATAAAGACATCCTGTAGAAACAGTTGGCCTAATTCAAGAAGAATTGCATGGGGTGGTAACTATGCCACAAATGTAGAGTACTTAAAGACACTACGTCCACCATACCAACAAATAATGGATGGATCTTTAATGTTTTTATGACTTGCATATAAGTGTTGCTCACGTTGGATGATTTTGCCTCATGGTGGCACTAGTGGAGCGGTCAGAGGGGTTGGCAAAATGGGTATGAATAATGACCTGGGAATATTCATATGACACAGCAAAAGGGCCAGTACTGTGTCAATATCTGGAACCAAGGTGTGATCTGGACTGAAACAGAGCTGATCAAGCTACATTTATTTTTTCTAAAAAGGGACCAGAACCCTTTGAACCTAAATTCCTCCATGACTGATCCTAAAGATAAGCGACAGACTGAACAAGGGGTTTGTTGTTTTAGACTGGATTCCAAGGATGCCACTAAATATTAACTGGAGCCATAGTAACATGTGACTCTCTGGTGTAGCTTTCCCTGCATGGATCTTTTAATCTTAAATATTATACTTTACCCCAAATGTGACTCTTTTTCTGGCCTTCAAATATAAATGTAATCCAGCTTTAAAACTTTATTTAATCCCGTGATATGTCACCAGGAGTCAGTCTTCTGCAGCAGCTCTACTTCACTCTCAGAAACTTCAAATATCCTGCAGATAAAAGTTGTCAGACAGCAAACATCTGAGCAAACTATCTGATGTAACACAATACACTGAAACTGAATATAAAGTGGATTTCAACCCCTGCAGATGAATAAATACCATGACTCCTGGGCTCGCTTGCTTAACAACAATAAGTGTTAGCCAAGGGAGGAACCCGCTTAAGTATCGCGGTTGACTGCAGGCAGTGCTCATAAATGTCAATGGGTTGAAACCACATTATTCCACTGAAGTGTGTACACAGATACATGAGACCTGGGACTCACCTCCCATAATGCAACAGGTTCCCTGCCACCTCGGGCCTCAGGGGAGAGTCCCTACCAGCCAGCTGAAGGGAGGACAAGATGACAGAGACGAGAAGGATGATTAGTGGAAGTGAAAATGAGTGGGATAGCTTTAAAGGGAACAATCACAGCTCATGTTCAGGCCAGTAGTCATGTCTGGATCATTAATATTAAGAGCTGTGTGTAGATCACATTACATTTTGATACCGTCCATCATCAGGGAGAAGCACACTATTGTTCTCTGTACTTTCTATAGATATTCATTTTGGCTGTGTACCAAATCATTCGCTACTAACTACTGACTATCTCAGGAGTCCTATGGTAAAGACTATATAGGGAACTCACTGGCAAAAAGAAAAAACACTCTCAAGACCATTGAAGTCGCACAATAAAAACGTGCCAGATACTGAGCACAACAATCATTTGTCCGATGAGTTGTGCAACACTGCTCTGCTCTAGGGCTGCTCAATTAATCGTATTTTAATCGCAATTACGATTATGGCTTGCAACGATTACGAAAACAACGTAATCGAAATAAAACGATTATTTTTTTTATTAATATTATTAATTTTTTGTATTGGTTTTTCAGTTGAGTTATATTTAAAGTTCAGGGTAATCAACAGTTAAAAACATACTGTTCACATTTTTTTTCTCAATAAATGGATGTTTTCAAAGTAAATGGATAATCGTTTTTTAATAATCGTGATATCAATTNCCTATTCATTTCTTTTTTTTCTTAACTTTTTTTAAATTGGTTTTTCATTGAATATACTTAAAGTGGACCTATCATGCTATATTTGGAATAATTATATTTGTAGGGCCATACCTATATATAAGGTATTTTATAAGTTTTATTTTCAAATAACCAACAGATTCATGCATTCTATCCATTCCATTTCATTTCGCTCAATTAACACTGGTCCTTCATGGCTCCGCGAATTCAGTGAGAACAGCACCATCTGGTGGCCGGAAATATGTACTAAAGCGTCTCCAGCGCTTCCGGACCGGCATGTCCGTGGCTGTCTCCTGCCTGATTGGTGGAGTTGGCCAATACAGTAGACCGTAGCGCCACGGTCCTTACCGTCGAAAATGTTCAAATCTGGATCAGTATGTATCAGATCTGTTGCAGTCCCTTTTTAAGAGATTTGGGTATGGAGGAAAATAGAGAGGGTTGTGTTTTCTGACACTTGGTGAGTTCCCTGAGACACCGGGGACACATAATCATGTATAAAAGACGTACAAAGGTGCATTTTGCATGATAGGTCCCCTTTAAAGTTCAGGGTAATCAACTGTTAAAAACATACTGTTCACATTTTTTTTCTCAATAAATTGATGTTTTCAAAGTAAATGGATAATCGTTTTTAATAATCGTGATATCAATTATTGACCCAAATAATCGAGATTATGATTTTTTGCCATAATCGGGCAGCCCTAACATACATTACTAAAAAAGGTTGCCATTTCCCTTTCCCAGGGATACAGCTCACACTGTGAAGGAGAAGTTTGGTAACAGGCTGTATGATGCTCTGCTAAAGTAAGTATGACACTGTAGGTGAACCCACAGTCCTATTGATTTTACAATGTGTACATCCACACTGGTCCTCCCTGATGAATGATGAGAATGTGTGTTCCATGTTTGTGTTTTATTGTTTGCTCTGTCCAGAGGGCAGATCCCTGACATGAACTCCATTCTGGATCGAGACGACTTCACAATTATGAAGAGAGCCATCTACGCCACTCAGGTAATGGACCCTATATATTCTTCTATTCAAAAATAAAATAAAATACTGGCATCTTTTTGACGAGTCTTGAAAAATAAAAATGACCAAAACACACCTGTCCACTCTTTTGAACAAAAACTCCATGCAGAGACACACCCTCCCTCCGGTAACCACTCACAACATGATTGACGACGCAACAGATCCCATTCTTTCGAACGTCAGACGCATCGGCCTGTTCAACTCCAGGAACGATCGCGTCAAGGTAGACAGTGGGCTTCCTCTTTGTCTTCTGGTGTCAGTCTGTGGGAATTTTCCAAATTGCCTGGTGATAATAAAGTACAATTCTGACATAATGTCGGTCGGAACAAGAAGGGCTTCATGTGAAAATAATTTCGTAAAAAGAATCTAAGAGGCTAAACGTTTGCAGCCATTCTAGCAGCTCTTAGAGTAAATAGGCCGTTGTTAATTCGCAAAATAAAACAAGATTGTCACTGTCAAGGTGTTGTTCGTGGAAAAGGGTTTGTTTTCGTGGAACCACCAATGTCTGTACAAAAATGTATGCATTACATCTTGTGAAAACTCACTCCTAGAGGCTTTAGAGTAGAAATCAGGGATTAACCAAACAAAATTGGAAACCCCACCGCGGGGTGCTACACTTCTATTTGCTGCGGTCGTTCATATTCCCAACTTTTTCGTCCCGGTTGTATTAACAGTTTTTTCACTACCAGGAGTTTTGGGAACACCTCTATTTTTTCTTTTTTTTTTACCACACAATTTAAAGTAATAATAACAATTTTTTTTTGGTTTCGTTTTAAGAGGTCTTATGATTACCCCAATTTTTTTTGTGAAGGGTCGACTAGCTTACCTACGTAATTTTTAAAGGGCCTTAAAGTACCCGAAAGAGTCATAAACGGTCATAATTTATTTAGTAATTTTCAAAAAGTTTTAAGGCAATTTACGTTTTTTTGATGTGAGGTAGAACGTGTAGTTAAAATGGTGGTTTTAATTTTTTTGTTTTTCGGAAAGTAAACGACTAACATGAACGGGAAGTAACCACAGTCTTTTTTCCACAAAACGCCCGGAACGACCAGGTCGTTCCCCCTCTCCTTCCCTCCGGTCAGTTTTCCCAAGTCCCTATGAACGACCGACCGCTGGGAAAGAAGGTCTATTAAAAATATTGGGAGGGACGAGGTGGCGAGGAAGGCTACCCGGACCGTTTTTGGTATTTCCCCAGTTCCGGTTTATACACCTTTGCCCCCGCCCACTCCTCTCACTTTACTTTACGTCGGGTAGTAGCTAAGGTCGGAGGAAGTAAACTCTTCGGGAAAACATTTTTATGGAGAAACGTAATTTTTTTGGGTTGGACAAGTTCTTGTTTTGTGCAAGTCGAGGTTGCACACATTAAAACTGTGCCTCCCTTTTTCCGACTGCAACAAAACGACTGTTCCCACAAAAACTTAACGTCTTGCCAGTAAATGTTTCCGAAAAAGAGTTACCTTCCTCGACTTTAGCTACCTACCCCGACGTGAAGTAAGGTGAGAGGAGTGGCGGGGGCCAAAGTTTTTTTGTTTTAACCCGGACTTGGAATTAACCCAACGTTTTTCCTCGTAGACAACTTTCCTCGTCGCCAAACCCTCGTTCCCTCCCATATTTTAATGAAACCCTCTCCCCAGGGTTTTTTCGGTCGTTTTTCATAAGGGACTTTGGAAAACCTGACGGAGGAGGAGAGAAAAAACCGACCTTTGGTTGTTCCCGACGTTTTTTTGTTTGGGGACTGTGGTTACTTCCGTTCAATGTTTTACGTACTTTCCCCGAAAACAAAAATTAAAACCACCATTTTTTTTTTACTACCAACGTTACCTTCACAAAATCAAACGTTTAAGAATGCCCTGTAAACTTTTTTTGAAATTTTAAACTAATAATTTATGACCGTTTATGACTCCTTTCGGGTTACTTTTTTAAGGCCCCCTAAAATACTAGTACGCTTGTCGACCCTTCAACAAAAAATTTTGTAAACATTAAGACTTTCTCTAAAACGAACCCAATGTGTTTTTTATTACTTAATAATTGTGGTAAAAAGAAAATTAGAAGGTTGTTCCCAACCTCCTGTAGTGAAACCTTGTATACAACCGGACGAGTTGGGAATTAAATGACGACCGCCAGCAAATAGAAGTGTCAGCACCCCGGCGTGGTTTTCCATTTTTTGGAGTTAGAGTAAAGGTAATAGTGCTCGAGGACTGAAAAAGGGACACAATAAAAATCATATAGACACACATTTAAATAGAACAGGGAAAATAACACTTAACATCAATTACAGCAGAAAAAATACACTAAACAAAGTCACTAAATATAATGTACAATGTTCGGGAAACCGGGCTGGTTCTATTTTTTAGCCGAAAATTTACAACTAATTATTAATTTTTTTGTGAACTAGAACTATAAGATAATGTTTTTGAAAACTGTCATTCCTAAGAAGTGAGTTAATTTAACCATTTTTTAAACTTTTTCGATTTTTAGTTATTTTATTGATTTTATTCACAATTAGATTTTTTGTCTTATTCCCCAAACCCCAGATATGTTTGTCCGATACCCGCTCGAATTTTTGAAAACTAATGTACTTTTTTTAGACAATTTTAGGAATTACGCTAAATGTTCAATGGGGTTTGAAAGAGCGTTGTTTGTCCTAAATCATACTGTGGGCATTGACTTAATTTAAACCACAGAAGTAGAAATATCAAATATAAAATTCCGGATGAGAATTAAGAGAGTAAATTTACCACATTTTTGATGTAAAAATAAAAAATACGTTCATCCCACTGCGGATTAAAATGTTTTTTTGTTTTTTTTTAATGGTTTTCCAAAAAACGAAAAAATTTAATTTTTTCAACATATTTTTCGAGAATTTTTGTGGGTGAAACACTTTTTTTTTTTTTTGATAATGACAAGTGAAAAATGTAAATCTAAAAAAGGAAAAAACTTTTCAAAAAATTTTTGGAGTAACAAAAGGTTTAGTGAAAATTTCATTTTTTTTTTTTTTTTTTCGTAAACCAGTAAAAATTTTAAATTAAAGGGAGAACAAAAATTTTAAAGAAACGTAACGTAAAACTAATGTAAAAACCTCACAATTAGGTTTTTTTTTTTTTTCATTTTGCCTTTTTTCGTTTTTAGTCGCTTTTAATGTTAATTTGATGACAAAAGATAAAACTATGGGAGGCTTAATCACCAAAACGACTTAACGTAAAAAAGAAAAAAGGTGTAAAAACATTTGTCATTTAATTGTAAAAAAAAATTTCCTATTTTTGGAGGCTTTTGGTGACCGCCATAAAAATTTTTTGTTTTTTTTTCGTAAAATTTTTACCTAGTCCGAAATTCTTACACAAAAGAAAGTAAAATTTCCCGAGAAAAAAGGGTTTGCCTTTTTCTTTTTTTTTTTTTTTTTTTTTTTTTTTTTGAACCTTTTCGGCGGTTCCGAAAATAAAAACGACCAATGGAAAATTTTTCCCGTTTGAGTCCATTACAAATTAAGGTTGGAAATTTGAAACTTAAGGAAGACCCAGGCATTTACCTCTGGGTTTTTTTTTTCAACAAAGTTCACAAATCCCTTTTTTTCCTTTAAATGCTCCTTTTAAAAAATATTAAAGTTTTTGGTTTTTTTTAAGTTTATTCCCTTTTAAAAAGATTAAAAAAAACTTTGTTTTTTTTTTTTTTTCCGTTAAAAAAACAAATTTTTAAGACAAAATAAATTTTTTTATTAGAACGGTCATAAAAGAGATTTGAACATAGGTAATTTTTTTTTTTTTTGTTGAACTTTTTGTTTTTTTTTTTTTTTTTTCTTGTTTTCTTGTCCGTTCAAAAAAGTCAGATAACCCTTCTAAACACTTACCTTTTATTTCTTTTTTCTTCGCTTAGTAAACACTTTTTTTTTTGTTACAGGTTATATTACTTCAGAAGAGCGTTTTGTCATACAAATTAAGGTAGAAGACTTTAGAACACGAATAGCTTATAGACACAAATAAATATAACTGATTAACAGAAGAACGCAGAGATGCGAACCATTCGAACGCATGGACAAAGATGCAATGTAAGGGCTCGCAACCTATGGACAACATTGTTGCATAAATAACATAATGGTCTCCTTCTCTAAAGTAGAGTCGTCCTAGCATTCTTCGGCTCTACAGAATACTGACTGTATGTGAATCCGGATCGCTTGCTTACAAAAATTCGTTTAAACATCTAAAAAAACCTTGTACGACAAAGGAAATAAAATACCCTTTTAATATTCCTTGCCAAGAAGGGGTCTCTCGAAGGTTTTTGCCAGAATTCTCTAACCTTACAGGGGAAAACCGGGTAATTCGTCCATCTATTAGACGAACAAACCACAAAAAAGAGGGGGCAGTCTCTGGGCGTCAGTCTTGTGTCTTCTTGAGACTACGCACCTGGTCGGCCCGGCGCCAGGACCGCAGTTGAAGGACGTCGTCTGGTCTCTCCCTACACTCTCAGATTTAGACAAGTGAGGTTGTGGTGTCGTCCGTGACCTAGGTAAAAAGAACGTCCAGCGTGTACTTCCCGTATTCCAACCAATGTCTGTTTCCGTTCTTACTAATTATTTCAGTAGTATGTACATTTATGAAACTAGATTGACTCGTTAATCGGGAAAACTACTAATTTTGAGATATAGGCTGTCAGATATATTGAACCTTCGGGAACAACCGAATCATCACGTATGAGTAAAAAAGAAAAACCCCTCTTTTCCGTTGTAACTAAAGACAAGAAGAATTGTAATGGTCAACTTTTCGAAAGATCTATGTCAAAATGTCACAATGATGGAGGTGTGTACGTTGAGTAAAGTTCGCTAAAAGGTTTGAAAAGTTCCCAAAATAAACCAAATTTCTATGTGTAGCTTGTTCGTACCTAACAGATTTACTTCAGGTGTTCGCTGACCAACTTTCCAAAAATCTATTTCTAAGATATAAGCTAACGGAAGAAGATTAAATTGTGGGTTTTTTTTTTTTTTTTTTTGTTCATTATTACTAACGTATAATAACAGTAAGGTGTTAAATTACGAATTAAAAGAGAAAATAAGATGGGTCGAATTCCTCTTAGGTTTATTAACTCCACAAAGGTCCTCACGGCCCACACGCTTCCTCTCTTATGAAACCTAGCAAAAGTATGTAAGTAAAGAAGATCAGGACCACATTTTAAGGTCAACAGAAACTATAGATATTTAATACGACCCTGTGTACGAAACACTTTACACTACCAAAATTATTTTCCTCAAACGTTAGGTATCGTGATTAAACCAGACTATAACAAGTTTCACAAACATTTGAAGGCTACGTATCTTATAAGTTGCCATACAAAGTTCTGGTAATACTGTGGGTTTTTAAACAAATTTTTGTTGTTAACAACACGTTACGCGCGAGAGACTTTTATTTTCACCTGTAAAATTACCTCCCTTCTATTCAATCTTTTTTGTTTGCCAATGTAAATACTTAGTATGGAAACGGCCGGATAAATGCCTATGTTATTTACAATACCGATGACTTATGTCCAATATTAACTTTTTTGGGGCTTTTCGTTCTGTTAGATTTAGTCGGTTTGAAGTGGACGACCTGAAACAACTAATTGGTCGTAGATATCGTTACGACAGATGTCATGAGTTTAATAATGAAAAAGTGAATATACAACGCGATTTTCTCCTGAATTTGTTTTAGTTGTGTCGGTGAGTCCCCCAACATTGAACATTTTACGCCACTAAATAAACAACATAATTAAAGGACTAGTTTCCATCTGTTGGGGCCGTAAAAACAACCAAAGAAATTGAGCTGACTGTATTTTGTGTCATGTAACTTTGTTGAACTACCGGTTCTGGCACGAAACCGCCTTGTGGGTTAAATTTGAGTCGAAAGTTCTGTCAATCGAAGATGCCAATACACTACTGGACTAAGTCCAAAGACAACAAGGAATAGATCGCTTATACGTTCGTAGGTTAAAAGTGTTGTGAAAGTCGGAAAGTTATAAAACGAGGAGATTAGATGTAAAATACTGAATACCAGATAAAATTTCGTGACAGTTTGTATACCCACTAATCACATTTGGACAAGATAACTTAGAAGTCGAAGATATCAGTTAGAGTCCATAGGAACTGAGGTTCAAGAAATGAACGGGAGGGACGTGCGGGGGTCGTGTTCCCTCCGGACATACAAGTCATAGCTAGGGAGAGGGGCAGAAAGTAGAAGCATAGTATCGCGGAGTATTAGGTAGTAGCAGCAGAGGAGGTGTAGCGATACCACCCACGTCCGCCGCCTCCGTCTCCCTTCTCCGCCGCATGGCTCAATCCCGCTCCCATCTGCCTTTGCAAGACAGACATACTGTGTTTCCATATTTGAAGTGTAAAAGAGACGAGTGGCATTACTAACAGACATCCATTTTTTCGACGGTTACACAAAAGCTCTCATTTAAAGTAAAAGTAACTTAGCGCCGAAAGGAAAGAAAGAAGGAAGGGGAAAAGGTCGTAGACAGCAAAAGAGAGAGGCAAATGAACAGAAAATAAACGCGATGTTAGGAAGGATAGAAATAGGTGAGAAGGCACCAGACTAATTCCCGAGGGTTGAGTATGGGAGGACGGAAACTAAAGGCAGGGAAGGGTAAAAGAATTAAAGAAAGTCCAGAACAGGAAGCTTTATAGATAGTTCCTGAACTTATAAAACGTAGTTTATAGCCACCGAGGTCTAATGCAGCTAGTGTGAAGTGCTACTAAGACAGCTAAGTAGGTGTTACAATCCGACGAGTTATTTAGTTTTTATCAAAGGTTTACAACCACACGAACCCCGTCATGTCACGCTCTGACTAAGAGTAACGAATAGTTCGACCTTATTCTATTCTCGCGGTCTATTTGTTAAACTTATAACAATACACTTATTTAGTTGAACCATCGAGACCGGAAACTTCCTGCCGGTTATTGGCATTGTTTTGGCTACTTTTACTTAAAAGTTGGGGAGGGTTTAATCCCACTACCTACTGTTGGGTAAACACGTAGGGAAACACTGTAACTAAACATAGAATAACTTTTGTATTAATAATAGAATGGTGAAGTATAATAAAAAGTTTTACTACACGTTACAGACAACATTGTACGCACAGTGTTTGTTTTCCGTATTAGAAATTAACCTAGTTATTTCATATATATAGAGTCACAAATTGTTCTAATAAATCTACCTCGCACTTTACTTAGGTAAAGAGTCGCAAGTGAGTAAGAGGTATTAAAAAGAATATGTGTTGAAAGGGAATGGAAGTTTTCCCCGGTACCAATCAGTAGAATTGAACAGCGCTCTTTCGGGCAAAATCGACGTCTAACGGCAACCGCACATGCAATCATCTGACCGTTTTGTGTTCGAGCTCGCTCTAGAATGTAGTTTGTTGCAAATGTGCAACTAGGTTTGTAGAACGCAAAAAGAAACCAAAAACAAAAAAATGTAATAAAAAACAACATGATGTGTGATTTCGCATTGGCGTGTGAATGTAGGGTCAACCTTCTGTATTACCCACAAGGCAAGGTTGTCGGAGTTAAAGTTGATGGATTAGACGACGAAAATTTATTTAATGAAAAAAAGAAAAATTCCGTCATGTTATGCACTAAGTTTCCTGACGACAGTTGTAGATAATCACGGCTGACGTCCCCCTTTGACTGGAGCAGGGTCGCGATAGAAGGCTCAGGTCGTCCAGTCTCTGGAGAACAATAGCGCAAGGAGACCTACTACGCGACCGCGTCTCTGACGACACGTCTTGACTTGACTTGACCTCCAGTCGACCATGTGCTGAGGAGTGACTCGCCTTTGCAGTCCAGGTGCACTACATTTTGTGGATGTCTCATAGTCTTCCTCCTCTTATCTGGCTCACAGTAGATTTAGGGATTTACTTTGTCGAAGAACTCTAAACACTAATTAGCTTCAATTATATATGTTGCACACACACACACACACACACACACGGGACACACACACACACACACACCACACACACACACACACACACGACACCACACACATAACAGGTGTGGCATCCGTCGTCCAGCTGTGTTACGAGGAGGTACTTCGTCGGCTTGGACTGTCCAAACCCACCGTTGTGACCCTTACGGGTATTGTCAGTAGTGGACCCCTTTATGTCGTGTCGAGTAGTTTTCCGATACATATAAACACTCAATACTTAACCATAGTCTCAATCTTTTGTCGGTTAGTTTTTCGGTAGTTGCGGAAGGCACTAAGCGAACGGACTTCCTCGGCCTAACGTCTTAATATTGTGCTAACAGAAATGCCACATTCAGGTCGAATTGTTACCAGAGTCTAGGATGGCCAGGTGTCTTAAGTGTTCTGAATTAGAAGTAACGGAGTACATCTTAAACATTGACGTCACCGGAAAGACTTAAGGATCATTGTACTTTGCAGACACGACACCCTTAGACATACATACACGTGTAACTTTACTATCAACGGTCCACCACATTGGGTACCCAATATAGATCAATCCACCCCCTTATGAGGTTCCAACGTAGGTGCTTGTTTCAGGAGCATCAGCGTAGCCGCGTCTCTGACACCTGTCCTTGAGTCCCACCTTCTATTAGATCTTCAGTACCACATCTTTGTACTCTTCATGTGTATAGACAGTGACTGGTCCTATAATAAAATAAGCTACTAAACAATGAAGGTCGTGTAACAACCTNCCGAGGTGTGGTTAAACTTTACCCGTCTCGATGCTCGTTACCTAAAGTGCAATAAGAGTTTAGCATGTAAGGGCGGTAACACGAGCAATTTGTCTAAACATTTAGCAAAAGTGCTCCACATCCAGACGGAGGAATGCACCGGGTTCGACTGTCTTTCTAGTAGCTCTGTAGCCCCATCCACGAGTAACGTTTCCACGTCAGGTGTTATGTATGCTAGCAGCAACACACGGAGTTAACTCAATGATACAAACATGGAGTTATTTATTTTTAAAGTTTCAGCTATTCTGTTTACAATTCTGTCATCAGATTATTTAATATGATTTGTTAAAACATTGCCGTTTCTTTTGATGTAAAATATTATGAATTATAATTATTATTATAAAATAAAAAGCAATGTTAGTTTTGTTCACAATTTTTTTTAGTTAATTTACCTTATTTTCTTCTCCAAAAGAACCGATAAAAGTACCGTTAAAAAACGATATCGATAAAAGTAGTAGTACCGTTAAAACCTTAACGATACCCATCCCTACTCTTAAGGATACTGACGAGAGCCGGAGAAAACAGGCGAAGCTAATCCTTATACGGTAAGGCATCCAAGGCCATATAACATTATGGCAAGGACAGAAGTGGAGAATGAATAGACAGACTAGTTAGATAATTCTCTATCACTCACCTTCACCCTCCTCTTCCTCCTCTTCATCCTTGTCCTCCGCCTCCTCCTCCTCCTCCTCCTCCTCCTTCTTCTTCACAGGTTTATCAGAGCAGATGGAGTTAGAGTCTGAATCGGAGTCAGAGTCGCTGTCCGAGGCGGTGCCTTCGTCGTCGCTGTCTCCGCTGCGCTTCCTCTTTCTTCTTGGCTGATGAATGGAAATGACAGCAGTCAAGTTTCATTTGGTTCACTTCCGTCTCGTTATTAAATTCAGTTGTGGAAGTGTAACGGAGGTGATCTCTGGGGCCATAGATCTCGGCCTCCGTCACGGATTGTGTAGCTTTGTTGGTGGCGAAATGTATGTAGTGTGTGCATCTGTCGGTGTTTTAGTTTGTCTGTCTCTGTTTGCTGGTTTGTTTTGAAAAGTGTTTCCCTTTCCCCGTGTTACTGCTGCTGATTGTGTGCACCGGGTGCCCTGTGTTGTCTCCTCCCCCCCCACCTGTGTCTAATTGCTGATTAGTGTGTGTATTTAGGCTGTTTCCCTGTCTGTTAGAGGCAGGTAGTGTGTGTGAGACCCTGGTGGCTGCAGACTGTGCTCAGGGAAACAACAGCAGGATTGAGGCTGTGTGTCATTGTGTTGATCATTACATAAATGCCCACACCGGGTTATATTTGAACTCTCTGCCTCTGCCTCCTTGCTTGGTCGGGCCGCTCAATTGTCAGCTTCACAGGAAGCAACACTCACTTTCTTGGGTTCAGGTGTTTCCTCTTTGGCTGCTTCTTTCTCTGCCTCCTCTTTCACTTCCACCCCTTCGGCTGCAGCTGCTCGCTCTGTGCTGGCGGAGCCGTTCTCCTCCTGTAGCGCACAAAGTCATCAACACAGCACCACTTAACCTCTAGGGCTGGATACCAAAACCCAAGACTCTGGGCTGCAATATTAAAGATCGTGGTATCAATAAGCTCAAAGGTTATCGGTCTTGCTACTGGAGAATTGGAGAGAATAGATTTCGTATTTATTATAGCTGCATAAACGTTATCTTGCTCCTTTTTCTCTCATTTAATCAGTTTCTAATTTGCAATAGGGTTACAACTAGGGATGCTCCGATCGATCGGCCGATACTCACTCTCTGCCGATCATCGATCGGCCGATACTCACTCTCTGCCGATCTATCGGCCGATACTCACTCTCTGCCGATCGATCGGTGCTCTCTATGAAGGCCGATCAGGAGAGCCGATCACATGACGTAAAATACATGACACTTTTCTCCGTGCGCGGCAAAACAAGCTCGCCAAGATGGCTTCACCGGTCTGGCAGTATTTTAAGGTGTCCGAAAAAGACAGTAAAATAGCGGTATGCAACGAGTGTTACCGCAGAAATCCTGCAGCTCCGCCCGCTGTGACGGACCGGTGAGCGAAACACAGACTAAGAGTTAGACCTAACACACTTAGCTATTTGATCTACCTCTGGAACAAGCTAAAGTAGGTATAAATATGTTTATTCTTCACTGTCGGGTCACTCATTACTGGATCAGTGAGCTGGATGAGATACTGACCGGCTGTCAGGAGAGGGGGAGAGAGGGAGAGAGGGAGAGAGAGCGCTTTCTCCCGTGATATTATCAAAAGTTAATGTAAACTTGAATAATGTACTTAATTTGAATGTAATAATTGTGTTGGTTGATGTTTGTGGAAGCGCCAGTGAATGGGCTCCATTAACTGAGTTTTAAACATCACTTTAAATGGAAGATCCCCATAGGCCCCGCCCACTCGATCGGAATCGGCCGATACTGATTCCGGCGATCGGCCACAAAATTGGCGATCGGAGCATCCCTGTACAACATTTGTTTATCCGAAAGTGACATGTGTCATTTTTGCTAAATTGATTTATCAACTTTTAATACTTTTTAAGACCCCGCGGATACCCTGTAAGATTACCGTTAAGGTACCAGAATGATAAGCTCCATCACGTAGAGAAGCAGTACCATCCCGAGGAAACTCTACTGTGTGGTGAAGACTGTCAAAGAATACTAATTACCTTCTCATTTTTGTCTTTCTCCACGGAGAGTTTACGGTCACCGTCCGATGTTTTGAGGTCTTCTTTCTTGGGAGGTTCGCCTCCACCTGAGACAGAGGCAGACTTCTCCCTTTCCTTCTCCCTCTCCCTCTCCTTCTCCCTTTCCTTCTCCCTTTCCCTCTCCTTCTCCCTCTCCCTCTCCCTCTCCTCCTCCTCTTCAGCCGGAAGGTCCAGGATACGCAGGTCATGATCCGTGCCTCCCTCCATCTTTATCACAGCTGGGGGCAAGAAAGAGGGTTTAGAGGGTCACTTAAAACATGTATTCCCCATCAATCACTAGTTACCTGTAAAAGATTAAATGAGTAACATAATCTGAGTCACACAATATAAAAAGTTAATGTAACCGGATAACTTTGTTACTTTTGGATTACCTCAAATGCAATGCAAACAAATAAGAAAAACTGATATATTAATAAGTTGTTTTTACTCAAGTGTATTCTGTAAGACAACAGAACATAGTCACCTTAGAAAAAAAGATATTTAGAAACATAAATGTGTCCTCTTCTCAGAGATTTTATTGATAGGAAGACCTGCCTTTCGTTAATCCTATTCAGGCATTAGCCTACACACCAGGGGTCGGCAAGTAAGTTTGGCCAAAACATTTCTGAGCCACTAGATGGCGGGCCAGCTAGTGAATTGTCAACCGGGGGGGGTGGGTGCTGGTGAACTGTCAACAGGGGGGGAACCTCGCTGCGGTGCCGGACGTCAGCGAACCGAGCCGGCCCATGACGACCGGCCGTTCTGTGATTCTCCAGATTCTCCAGATGGCCGCTCCTGCTCACAAACTTATTAAGATCCGCGTTTGGAATCAATGCTGACAGTCTCTTCTCGGTCATGGTAGACCAAATGCTTCTCGTTTTGCACCGTCCCGTTCAAACGACAATCACACATTTCCATTAGAAAGAGGGGTTACAAGGCTCGCGTCTTGTGCTGCATTCACTTGCACTCGGACATTAGGGATTTTCTCTCAGAAATGTCCGGGAAAAAAAAAAGTTTCTTTCAAAACAAAGCTAGTTTTCCGGGCCAAATATTATTGCTGGCGGGCTAACAATGGCCCATGGGCCGCCTGTTGCCGACCCATGCTATACACCAGGGGTAGGCAAGTAAGTTTGGCCGTGGGCCAATTTTTTTCTGAGCCACAAGATGGCGGGCCAGAACATAATCAAAGCCTAATTCAAGGAATTTATTTTGGTAAGAGGGCGCAGTGCCCCTGTTCCCCAGTTCAGAAAAAAACTCTGATATCGCTGATAACCCTCCCCATCAACACTCCGATGCGCAGTCAGATCCGCTGATTGGTTCACTGATGATATAGGCTGATTAAAGTGACGTCCATATCACCAGATATCCAAAAGATAGCGACCGATGGGAGATGTCAGTTTTCACATTAAGTGAGTACCAAGCCTGTCGTAATTGTATTTAATCGCCTAATTATATTTTTGATATTTTTGAATGAATGGCTCATTGTAATTATTATCCCTAATGTAGCGTGTTTGCTCTGTCGTTTCAGGAGCATATGCACCACCACTCCTCGCCCTTCATGATCAAGCGGCTTCTCCAATTTTGTTGTCAATGTTTTGCCTGAACTTTGTTACTGTTCACATATAAGTAAACATTACGTTTCAATGATTTATTGAGCTGGTGTTATTTTTTTCAAACCACACACCGAATGTTGGCTATTTCAGCACCACGCGCTATCCACCTATTGATCCACTATCAGCGTCAGTGCACCCCGCAGCCTGATTGTGCCTGTGCTGTGTGTCATTCACTCTCAACATGGATAAAGTACAATAAGCATTCTTCAGGTGTAGGTAGATTCTCTATTCGGACATTATAGCCTATATGTGCGACTCTCGGTCCGATGTTGTAAAAAAAAAAAATAATAATCTTAAAATATTTTTTTATTTTTTATTCTCAAAATTACGGGCCTAATATTATTTCTGGCGGGCCAACAATGGCCCGGCCACCTGTTGCCGACCCATGCTATACACCAACCATGAAACACATGAGTGCATACTACAGTTTAAAAAAGCAGAAATGAAATCTGAGCTGACAGGAAATGCTCCGTTTTAGTTCAGTACACACAGTTAAGTTCTCACACACTCTTTTATGAACATATAGGTTCACCTACTGAATTATAAACAGAACAAATGAAGCAAAGAAAGTGAAAACCATAAAGCAGATTCAGGCAGTAGGCGTATAGATTCACACTTAAAGTATTAGCCCACAGAACAGTACAGCTAACAAAGGACAAATAACATATTGATCCTTTTACAACACTATATGCTTATTTTTTTATATTTTGTGTGACCTTGTAATTCTGCTAGAAATGTAACAGCAATCTGATGTCTTTTATTATTGCAACTGTAAGGGAATAGTTACTTTTTCTGTATCATGATTATATAATCGTTTTTTTCCCAAGCCTGCTTACAACTAATGGCAGAGGCAGTTGGTGCGACACAGTAACTACAGTCTTACCTGCATCCAGAACCTTGATGATGGTGGGGGTCTGTTCGATGTCCAGGGAGACGTTATCAAACCAGCTGTTCTCCATCAGGAACATGAAGACGTTCACTCGGTTGTGCAGCGCGCTCTGGGCCTCGGCCTTTAGTAGACTGGCTTCATCCGGATGATACTTGGACCTGAACCTGTGTCCAGAGTCGGGGTCCACAAAAAAGTTGGGAGGGAATGATGGGGATTGGGATGAACATGGAAAAAGTTAGAAAACAGATGCATAATATGGATCTTTTTTGCAACTTTAGTGCACATTTAAAAACAAAAATGTGAAATCCAGATGGTTTGTTGTAAATCTAAACAGACCATCATATTTAAGATTTCTACAGCCTAGCCCTGTCACTCAGAGTATACATGACTTTATGATTACAAAAGCTAAACATTATTTGAAAGCTTGAGATAAACTCACCAAAACTAAGGAAAAAACACAACAGAGACGTTATGAAAATGAAGCATTGACATTCAGAATTTCACATTAAAAATGTTGATCATTGAGTGGACTACAGTTACCTTTTTTTCTGCCAGTTTATTTACAAATAAATACAGAGAGGGGGGGTCTCTTCTGTGAAAATGTGCTCCACTTCACCCCAATGGTGCGTCTGTATACACACAAATTCGGTTTTGGGTTTTGATCCGAACATAAAAAGCGTAGAAAAAGCATAAAGGAAAAAAAAAAAATCTTGGTGCACGAAAGAGACTATTTTCTGTCTATCTGAGATCCCTGGTACTGTGTCTGAGAGCGACTGCATTGTGCGCAGTGCGGACCCTTGCTGTCTAACAACCGATGCGTGCTGATGAGCTCCACTTTTTCTCATCTTCAAAAAACGTCGTCAACTTTGTAGTGGGAGGGGAAGAAAAAGTGGTTATGGCAAAACAGAACAATTGTGCATTATACCCGTGAAACAAGTGTCATAGGCATTAACAGACATTATACAACTGTACATCTTGCAAAAGGGAAATCAACCCAAATAATGAATATGGACTAACGAAATACATTTAACTAATCTGTCTGTCAGCTCTGTGATTGTGTATATTCAGTGTTTCCGCCAGGGGGGCGTCTTGCCGTTATTTGACGCTCTTATTCAGCTCGGAACGCCCCGAACTCGAGCCGAGGGCGCCCAAAAACAAATTGAGAGAAGATCGAGACTTTTTATCGCTTGAAATGATGAAACGGAAAAAGGACAAGGACATCCCTCTGTTGGAGGGGCAAAGGAGTCTGGTGGGATTATTTTCGCTGCCAGCAAAGTGTGTTCCTGTGACGAAAAACAAAACAAAGCCGCATCTTCCAAGGACCACGCCAGGAGGGGTGTCCCTGTCGGCAGGGAGACGTTAAGAGATACTATGGAGAACCGCAGTGACGCGTCCTAAAAAAAGTAAACTTCTTCTGGTTCCTTCGACAAAACCAATGCAGTCTCTCCATAGGATTTTGGAAAATAGCTTGAAATAAGGTCCGTCTCTTAAATGTGTGAAAACCACAGACCTTATTTCAAGCTATTTTCCAAAATCCTATGGAGAGACTGCATTGGTTTTGTCGAAGGAACCAGAAGAAGTTTACTTCCGGGTTTTAGGACGCGTCACTGCGGTTCTCTATAAGGGACGGCTCAATTCAAAATTGGGTGGACGCCCTCTCAGCCCTGGTCTGGCGGAAACACTGTGTATAGTAATTTTGAAAAGGATTTATAGATAAACTGCACACCATGTTAATTAACACATGTTTTATCAATACCTAAGGATTCATCCGTGCAACTTCACATTTCTATTCAAAGTAAGTTAGAATATGTGTTAGGGCTGCTCAATTAATCGTATTTTAATCGCAATTACGATTATGGCTTGCAACGATTACGAAAACAACGTAATCGAAATAAAACGATACTTTTTTTATTATTATTACTTCTTCTTTTCAGTTGAATTATACTTAAAGTTCAGGGTAATCAACTGTTAAACACATACTGTTCAAATTTTTTTCTCCAATAAATGGATGTTTTCAAAGATTTAATAAACGCAATTACAATTATTGACCCAAATGATTGAGATTATGATTTTTGCCATAATCGAGCAGCCCTAATATGTGCTATAAAAGGATTCATTTGGGTTGATTTTCTTCTTTAATAAACGTCAAGGGAGACAGAGTCAATAAAAATAACTATACAGAGCCTGGTCCTAGTACAAGGGTGAACTGTCCTTGGTTTTACTCGTAGGTTTTACGACATTAGTTTTCATTATAAGTAAAGGCAACTGATTTCGTACCACTCTTCATCTTTATGAGCCAAAAAGAAGTCCTGCATCTGCTGCCGGCGGAAGTCGATCTTGTAGTCGTTGTAACGTTTGACCGCCTCCGTCTCCTCCACAGAATCATCCAGAGACAACAGGAACTCCTTAAAGGTCTTCATTATGGGAGGGGGGGGACCCAGATCCATGTCATGGAGGTTACCCAGTCTGAAGGAAGAGAGTTGGAGGAGTTTTGAGAAAGCTGGAAGGTACATTTGGGATTATAACCTTTGCAGACCTTTCACATGCACAAAAACATGTTTAACACACTACAGGAAAGAAGAAACAAGGTATATTTAAGACATTTAAAGTAACATTTATATTAGGGCTGCTCAATTAATCGTATTTTAATCGCAATTACGATTTTGTCTTGCAACGATTATGAAAACAACATAATCTAAATAAAACTTTTTTTTTTTTTTTTTTTTTAAAGCTCAGGTTAATCAATTGTTAAAAACATACTGTTCACATTTTTTTTCTCAACAAATAGATGTTTTCAAAGTAAATGGATAATCGTTTTTAATAATCGTGATATCAATTATTGACCCAAATAATATAATAATATTTGTGATTGTGGGAAACGGTATTTCGATCTCTCTGTCTGTACACAGAAACTGAAAGATTGACAATAAAGTTCACTTTGACTCGAACATTTAACTTTCTCACCTCGCCTGGATAGGGATGCCGTGATGAGGCTGCATGAGGTGTAGGTCCGGGTGGCCCCAATGCTGCGGTGGGCCATAGCTTGGACCCCCGCCGCCTCCTCCTCCTCCGCCGCCTCCGCCGCCTCCTCCTCCACCCCCACCCCCATAGCCCAGGTCGTACCCCCCGCGGTAAGGATCTCCACCATGGTCATCCCTGCCATGGACAGATGAAAGAGCATAAGTGTGATGGAAACTTCTGAAGAAATGGAGACTCAGAGCTTCAGCCGGATAATTCACAAGACATGTGCTGAGCCACGAGGTGACACAGCGGTTGCCAAACCAATTCTGAAGATGTCTACCCCCAGACCCGTGTAGCTGGTTCTGAGAGAATAATCAACAAAGTGCATAACAAGATAACGCACCATAACACCTCTATCAGCCAACAGGCAGGAATAGGGCAAACTGATCAACTGGGTCAAAGTTATGGGCCTAGGAAAATATTTCCCCAACAGTTTATAAGCACCAGCAGCTTGTAGTTGCAAAAGGTGTGTGTTTGTGACGGCAGATAATCTCACCAGTCTCTCCTCATGCGTTTCTGCTGAGGACTCATGTCGTGTCTGGGCGGCGTGAATCTCTCTCTCCGACCTCGGTCATAATCCCGGTATTCTCCACGGCTTCGTCGTTCCCTGCCCCGGTCCCACTCTCTGGAATATTGATTTCAGGAGACATTATTATTAAAGAAACATTCAAATTAAACAAATGTTATCACTAATTGGATGCACGTTGTTGGCCTGCCAGAGACTTTATTTGCACGTTGTTTGCATGCACAGTGTGTTTTGTGTTATGCTGCTGTGCCACAGGTATGTTTAAAATGTGGTCATCCCAATAAAGCCCCTTTGTATTATATTGACTTTAGCTTTTATACATATTCTTACCGGTCGTTCCAGTCATCCCTGCGCCTGTCGTCTCTCTCTCTCGAACGGTCGTAGTCACTTCTCTCCCGTCTGAATTTGTCCCTTCTCCTGCGATCGTACTCATCATCACTGTCTCCCATCTCCAGGAAAATAGAAAAGGGCACATGTTAGGATAACAGTTAACCTCGATGTGCGTTAAGTAGCAGAAAACAAAAGATAGTTAAATTACGAACTAAACTTTTCATGACTGTATTTTACTAGGAACCTGTTTGTAACCAAGGTTGGCAGTCTAAAAAACGAAAACATTACTCAGCCAGTATTATGGGATTCAAATGTGATTTTTTTCATTCACAATTATCATTTGTCTTGGATCTTATAATTCATACGCGTGTGAATAAAGAAAAGACAAAAACCAAAAGCCTGGTGAATCACAGCCACTTTAAAATTGATATCCCCATAAAAGGTCTGTCAACTCTGTCCACACTTCTGAAATCCAATTAATTTCAGATTTAAAATGTTCAGAACAAATATTGAGGTCTAAGAGCAAATCAGAGCTGTACTTATTTTTAACTTATTGTACTGTACATTAACTAAGTGTATTAAGTGAAGTAGATATAAACTCTACGTGCAGCAAACCCGTTTCATGCCCTGTATTTGAACTATGCTAAATTGTATTATCCCCTATCAATTAATAAACTAACATGTGGGGGAAAGTATGGAAAATACGATGAGAACACAAGGACACTGAGACGGCCTTCAAAGACAGGCAGCTATAGCGCACACTTGTGTAAAAGTGTTTCAACAACAATGCTACTGATAACGTAGACCTTGGATATCCATATTATCAAAGAACTAGAAATAAGAAGTTGTAACACGTGTGGGAATAAAGGCTCCAAGTGAAACAAAGAGGAGAGTTGTTGATGTAGCATGTTAGCTAACGTTAGCTAGCATGCTACATTAGCTAGTTAGAAAGTCATCGTTTTCCTCCATTATCCGCAGTACGCCTTTCATTTATCCGATGTATTAACTAGAGAACTGTTGCTGTTTTGTTGGTTTAACCACTATTGAGACACTATTAGCTAGCACATTAATACCTTAGAAATGAGTTGAACGTATGATGGTCTGGTTCTTCTTCTGCTCCACAACTTCAGCTTACTTCTTCTTCAGTTGGCGGTGAAAGGAAAGCAATAAAATGGCGCATCACCGCCGCCAACTGGAGAGAAACATGCTTTTTCATTGATATCCTTTTCCTCTTTTGATTTCCCATCTTTAAAGTCCGGTCACAAGCTCGTTATCTAACCTTTAGACCTCAATTGCCCCGAGTTTATATCAGGTTTATATCCTATGTAAATACTATGTTTATTGAGTGTATTAAAGCCTCTTTGTATTGTATTGTATTGTATTGTATTGTAATGTAGCCTACATTTAAACCATAAACCCAATGAGGTTTCCATGGAAGCACCATTTCTTAAAATACAAACAGTGCAGATCTGCCGTTTGTTCCTCGGGACAGGCAGAGGTGGGAGAAGAACTCAGATCATGTACTTGAGTAAAAGTAGAAGTACCAGAGTGTAGGAATACTCTGTTACAAGTTTAAAAAAAACTTGCATTCAAAATGTTACTCAAGTAAAGGTACAAAAGTATTAGCATCAGAATATATAGTAGGCCTACCAAAAGTAAAAGGACTCATTGTGCAGTTTGGTCCATTTCAGAATAATATATATGATGTGTTTTATAATGATTGATCATTAAAGTGTTATCCAAGCTGGTAAAGGTGCAGCTAGTTTTGATGACTTTGTGCAGGGTGCAGGGTAGCTTGTAAATTTACTCCAGGTGGAACTAAAGTCTGATTTAAGAGTTGATTATATTTCACATCATTAATCAAAATCTCTAAAGTAACTCAAGGTATGAATATAGTGGAGTAAAAGTACACAAGTTACCTCTGAATGGTAGTGAAGTACAACGTAGCATACAATGGAAATACTCAAGTAAAGTACAAGTATCTCAACATTTTATAATATTATACAGTACATAGCCTACTTAGTTACTTCCCACCTCTGCTCACAGGAAAAAAAGTAAAATATTGTTTTTCCTCTGAGAAAAAGTGCTGGAGCATCCATGCAGCTCTATAGACATTTAAAAGAAAACATCTCTTGCTAATATATTATTATAGTAATACATTATATTTTGAAGTCTAACAGAATAACCCGGCCAGAAAGAGATCATTAAAATGTACAATTCAAGCACTAACATCAATGAAACCTAATAGTAATGATTCATTTGCACAGTTGCAGTCTTTTTATTCAGTATTAAGAGCAGCGTTTAAGAGCAAAAGTGTGACATTGTGGAAAAAATAAGCAATGAGGGTTTGTATTCAAATAATATTTTAATAGATTTAACTCTTATACAATCTTATTTACTTTCACAATCCAATGAACTTCTAAGTACATCCTTTCTCGGTGCATTTCTTTGTCCTTCCTCTGAACCTTAACGGGTGCCTCATGGGTGTTGCTTGTGGCCACAAATGAGTATTCAGCTCTTCGTCCTCCATGATAAATGCAGACTCCACTTGTTGTGTGAAGGAACGGTCGTCTCTGGATCCAAACACAAAGTCTCCTCCGGGTCCACCATTGCCGTTCAAAGGACTGGAGATAAGGTGGGGTTGGTAAGTGGTTTTCAAAAAACCCTATGAATATGTAAACAATATTTATTGTCTCTTGATTTCTGCACAATATAATTGATATATATATATATATACATATACAGCATATTCAAATAATTGTTCCAAAAAATGACACATTTAAATACATTTCAAAAGGTCACATTTCATATATCAGGAAGATAAATGTGTATGTTACCTTCCTGTAGTCTTCTGGAGCCTCTCTGGAGTCAAGCAGCACAAATGAAGATACAGTGAAGAACAGCAAGAAAGACACTGTGAGAAAAGACGAGCATGACAACAGTGATCCAAGCATCTTTTCTTACAGTTGCATGTGTCTGTACCCAGGAAAAAGTCCAATATCTTTAATGCTTTTCAAAGCAGCACAATCTACAAATGCCTTGTGTATTTATTTCTGAGCTTGCATGGACCACACCATCTCATTTATAGTCCCACATGCCATAATCCAGCCAATGGCTAACACAGCGCTGAAGGTTCATTTAGCTCACACTTTCTTTAAAGCAGCAGGTGACATGACTAAAAGCACATAAAATAATACAAAAATGAAAAGACTTGAAGATTATGGGAAGGATTAATGGTGACGCATTCATCATCAACTGTAGGGATTCTTAATGAATCAACACCCAGAGGCAGGAAACTCATTTCAGGCCATGTCTGCTAATCTGCCTTGAAAAGACAAAAACATTTACGTTCTATTAGAGCTCTTTTTTCCCAATTGATTAATTTTCTCCCTTTTGAATTGAACAAAACAGGAAACAGGGAATAAATGTGGTTATTTTATAATAGGTATGAAAAAAGAGTTGCTCCACAAGACATTAACCAAAATTAGATTTGTATTTCAGCTTTGTGTGCTTCACCCTGCTGACCCACGACTGTACACCCACCTACCTAACCTACAGATCTAAACAAATTCGTCAAGTTTTGCGGATGAAACAACAGGAAGGAGGTGAATCAGCTGGCCACGTAGTGCTAGCCCCGTGAATAACATTCGTTTTCACCACAATGGAGTTTTTAGATTTTCCTTTTATATTTGTGGAAAACACAAAACCCTGGATTGAGGATGGCGAAACTTTCTCCAGTAAAGTTTAAAGACGGTTAAATGGAAAAGAAAATGTAAACAGACTTGGACAGTTACAGAAAACTAGATCTGTGCTGCCGTAATTTCAAGTAACATTGCTGTCGCCACAGATCCAGGTCTTTGTCGAGGTGGAACAAACTTTTTCTTAGCTGAAGCAATACGTTCTTATTTAAAGGTCACATATTATGCAAAATCCACTCATTCATGTCTTTTATACATAAACACGTGTAAAGAGATTCTGAAAGTTTCAGAAAAATGATTCTCTCTCTTCTTGTCCTGATCCATTTATATAAAAACTGATCAGATTTCGGCCACTTGGTGATGTCATAATGTTTTTTGGGGTTGTGCAACCATTAGCCAAAAACGCCGGCTTTTTGTTGTTGTTTAGTAGTTGATCCCGTCCCTGCCCCCGCTTCGACGTTAGCGTGACGTATGTGGTGCTTTTGCTCTCGCCGGACAATTTTTTGGTGCTTGAAACAAACCGGATCCGGAACTAAGAGGCTGCTCCGCTGCGGTGTGAACAGGAAAACCCGGTGCTTTTCAAGCTCCAGAATGAGATAAGAGACATGTTTTGTATATATAACACGTGTAAAGAGATTCTGAAAGTTTCAGAAAAATGATTCTCTATAATAGGGGACCTTTAAATTATTAACATATCAACAGATTTATGCAATTTGTGTAGCCGTGTAAAAAGCGGGATACTGTGCAGCGAGGCGGTCTTTAATGAAAAATGAACGCCAACAGGGTGATCAGGATCCCTTAGACCATTTCGCACCAACGCGGTTTTCGGGCCGGTTCGGAGCTAGAGCCTGATAAGCACCGGTTTTTCCTATTCACACCGCAGCGGAGCCGCCTCTAAGCTCCGAAAACCGGTTCTTACCAAGCTCCAAAAAATTGTCGGTTTAGAAACAAGAACCGCATACGTCATGCTTACGTCGGAGGCGGGATCAACAGTTTAGGCGAGTACGGCAAATAAAAGTTGCAACAAGCAGTAGCGCTGAGCAAAGTGACTAGAACGCAACCACACACTTGTAAAAAAAAAAAACACCCTTTATAAAGTCAGCCAACACTAAGCCGTTATTGTCCTATAGGCTACATTGATTAAAGTAAAAGAACATGAAAGAGTACCCTCAGCAGGGGGTCCCGCTCTGGGCTCATTAGTGACATGCTAATCAGTTCAAATACCTGAAATACATAACCAGAACATTTCTTTGTGAGCCATGCTTTAACAAAAATATTCTTTTCCTTTCATTTTTAATAAAAATATACCACCTGTAACGCTTTGACGTATGTACAGTGGGGGTGTGAAGATGTAGATATAGCAGTCTGCATTATTATTAAACTATATTCATTTTGGGAGTAATATCTATTTATAAATATTTTTAAAAATGCTAATAATTGGTAACTTATAATGGCTTCTTTCTTTTGGTATGTTAACAAAAGAGGCAACACAGTCCCATTTCAATACCATTTAATCTTCCACAAACCACACATTAAATGCAGATTTCCACAGACTGTGTTTAGACATCCTACATATTTTCAAACCTGGCAGCTTTATACATGAAAATTATAATTGACACTGTACATCTATTTTTGTTTGTGTGTGATAAACTAGGAACACAGACGTTTCAGTTAACAGTCTCTTATATCAAGACATTAAAAGCAACACAAAAAAACTAAACACAGTACAGATTCATTTGATACTGGAAATAGGAGAAAAACGGTTCCATTTTACAATACAGACTATTGCCAAAAAGTCCCAATCAAAGTGTCTTTTAATCATCAGTAGAATATAAAGGAGGAATGTTATAATTTCTGATTCCCGTTTAATAAACAAAACACATCCTTTGACAGAGCGCTTCCGAATCATTAACAGTGTGTTATAAAGTTGTTGTGGTGTTTTAGGGGGTTTTGTTCTGCCCCCCGTCTGACGTGGTAGTTGAGATTACATAGCAGGATTTATTTGGATTAGGATTAAGGTGGAAGAGAACATTTATACCAAAGATGACAGTCACCTTAAATTACATTTCAGTTTTCAGTCAAAAATGTCCACACCCATACATTAAAAACAAAAATTCCAGTTATAAATGCAGTAACACCACATCATCTTTTACGTTTCTACTGTTCTGTATATCATTTGGCAGTACACAACTAATCCTGGTCCTTTTATAAAACAGAGAAATAAGCCATTCGTTGTTTGACAGTCTCTGAGATTGTCCAAATGTTCGGGTGCAAATCAAGCAGTTTGGGTTTTGCTAGCACAAAGCATGGCTGTCTCTTTCGTATTTTTCACTATAAAAACCTTTGATATACATCGGTATCAAGGGGGGTTAAATCATCGTTTTCTTACCAGCAGTATTACATAAGTATTGCCGCTTTGAGTCAAGGGGGGGGGGGTGTTAATCCAGTTCCTTCATTTCCCAAATATTTAGCGGACACATGAACATAGAGGCAATGCTCTTATTCCTAAAAACACCTCCAGGGTCCCACAGTCAAACAAATTATCATTTTTTCGTATATAAAAATGGAAAAAACATCCATTGAAACCTATATTTCGTTAAAAGCTAAAAGGTACACATTATAAGACCTACTGTTGTTGAATCTCACTGTTATTCCTTTAGTGACTGACCTCTTATCTGTTGCTAAAACCTGAGTTTGTTCAACGTGACAAACTACATACAGCTACAAATATGTTCCTTAAACTGACCACAGAGTAATTTAGAATAAAAATGTAAAAGCAGCAGAAATGTATAACATTTTTGCAATATTCTATTAAAGCGTGACTTACTGTGGAAATTTAGCACGAAAAAAAAACGGACATTTCAAAGAACTGAAATATAGCTTTAACAATGTGAAAAGAGAGGTTGAGCGTAGTAAGAGATAAAATGGAGACAAACATTTTCCCTTCACATGCACATTCATGTTAGGACGAAAACAAAAAGCTGGTAAAAAAGGGCTGCAGATATAAAGCAATTAGGGTTAATATTGAGTGTGTCAAACTTCACTAACTTACTCGAAGAAACCACCATTTTTTCTGTTTATCAACTGAGGCTTTACCTATTTGAGTCACGCTCTTATTTTGACAGCACAGTTGATTTAAGTGGCCCAGTATTTATGTGCAGCACTAGTGGTTAGGTCACGCAAGTTATGATTAAAACATGCATTTAAAAAGGAGCTCCACAGACAAATATAGGAGTCCTGGAGTGTGTGAAAAACTGGGTTGATGCTCACTGGCGGATGTGGGTAAAACTCATCAAGTGCTTCCTGTGCTTTGACACTAACACGTAGACCTCCCGTGGGTAAGACATTATGTTAAGCTAAATATCTAGCTGACCACAAACTATCTTTAAAGTACGATGTGAGAGCACACAGACCCCTCAGACCTCCACTGTGTCCCTGTCGATGAGCCGGGTGGTGTCGTCCTCAGAGTGGTGGAGGTCCTCCGCTGCGTCCTCACTCTCTGAATCCGAGTCCTCCAGGGTGGAGTGGTAGCCCTCGTACACCAGGATGGGGGAGTCGCAGTGGGCAGGGGAGACGAGGCACTGGGCGGTGGTGGTGGTGGTGGTGGTGGTGGCTGAGTAGACCCCTGGACTCCCTGAGGGGGACCCCGGGTTGGAGGGTCGCAGCAGAGGAGTGCGCTCAGAGTCTCCCTCGCCCCCTTCCTCCTCCCCCCGACCTCCTGTCTCCTCCTCAGACTCGGACTCGGAGTGCTCCGTGGGGCTGTGAGTGACGCGCTGTTTGCACACGGGACAGGTCTTCTTGGTCTGTGTGAGCCACGGGTCCACACACTTACAGTGATAGGCTGAGGGGCAGAGAGAGGGGAGTGAGTAATGCTGCACAATATATTGTTTACTTATGATCATTGTGGTAAAGGCCTGATATTTTTTTTTTTTATTGATATTTTAATTCAACTTTTTACATTTTATTTGACTTCCTTTTTATCACCACTGTAAAGTGTCTTTGAGCAGCTGAAAAAGCACTTAATATTGTCTTAGATTTGAGATATCAAGATATGGCAGAGGTGTTGTCTTTTATTGGTTTTAAAGATATATAGAAATAGACCAATAGCAGAGCATGAGGGATAAGCAATGTTCACCTTTGGAGGAAAGGGGATTATGTTGCTTTATACACATATTGATCACTAGGTAGGGGTACAAATATTAACTTTCTAGTACGGGTACATTCATGTACTTAGGATCATCGCGATAAAAGCCTATTATGTTGTTTTATTGATCTGGTCATTAGAACAGATATTGACTTAGATTTAAGATATCAAGATGGCTTAGGTGTTGTCTTTTATGGTTTTAAAGGCTGCATTAAATGATATTACATTACATGTGACTTGTTAGACGCTTTTATTCAAAGCCACTTACATACTCAACACTGTGGACAATCCCCACAGGAGCAATTTGGGGTGAAGTGTCTCAGGGACACAACGACATGCTGACTGTAGAGGGGTTTGAACCGGTCCGAACACCAATGTACAACGCACAACCCACTGCGCCACTACTTCCCAAATATATATATATATATATATATTAGGGATGCCAGTGATTATTCGAATATTCGTTACAGTCTCCATAATCGAATATTATTTTTAAAAATCGATTTTATTTATATATTTTTTTATTATTATTTATGTTATTTTTTTTTTTTTTGGCTTAGTGTTTCAACCAAAATATAGACTAATACTAATAATAGTAATAGTATTAATAATTGTAAATGGCCATTGGTCATTTACAATTATTAATTAATAATATTAATTAATTTACACGTGCGACTAAAGATGAACAAGCAGCAGGTAAAAAGAGTTCCTCCTCGTGGAACTACTTTGAACTTACAAGTCCAAAGGAAGTTAAATGAAACAAACAACGGAATTCCTTTTGTCTGACTTTTTTTTTTCTCTCCCGCGGGGGATAATAATCGATTATTATTCGCCAGGGCTGCCGAATAATCGATTTTGATCATGGTCAGTTTCTGGCAACCCTAATATATAGAAATAGAAATAGAAATAGATCAATAGCAGGGCATGAGGAATTGGCAATTTCCACCTTTGGAGAAAAGGGGATAATGTTGCTTTATAAACACTTTGATCACCTGGACTACCATATTGTTCTATTGAGGACGCACTAGGTAGGGGTACAAATATTAATTTTCTAATACGGGTACTTGTTGTTTCAATAGTACCAAAAGCTTGTAGATGTAAGTAAGGTAGCTCTGCAATCTGTGTTTCATAATAACATACATTTATATAACAAAATAACGAAAAAGGTACCGTGTGAACAGGGTAGAACTCGCAGTTTGTCTCCTTCTTCATAGTCGTCCAGGCAGATCGCACACAGATCGTAGTCGTCCCCTGAAAGACAAGAGAGAACATTGAGAGATATTTTTTCAATTCTTGTTTCACGTTTCAGGAAAACAAGCTGTTCTGAAAGTTCAAAGCTTCAGGAAATGATTCGAATAAAGACTTTATATTCTCATGCTAGAATTTGATCATTGCAATTAGGTCTGATTTTCTTAAAAACAACACACTCCACTTACAGTGAAAAAGATGTCACCTTCTTACCTTTAGTGAACTTGTGGATTGGAATCTTCTTCAGTTGTTCCTTGGACAAACGATTTTTCCTCATCCTTTTTCGGTACTGTACACATCGTATAATCTGAACAACAAAGAGATACGAGGTGACTGATTGCTTTGTGAGAATAAACCGAGACCCAACAGGCTCATTTTCATTCAAGGTGCTGTTTGTTTTGTCACAGCAGTTACATGGCATGACACAACATCCACATACGCACAGTAGAAAAGACATCCATCAATAGAGCAGTAAAGATTAACCAACATACAGAAAACATTGAGGACTAATAAAGACTAAAAACAGAACAGTATAGACTAGTGTTGTCACGATAACAACATTTTGGTTTCGATACCAAGTCAAGAATTGCGATTCCGATTATTTTTCGATACTTTTCTTAAAAAAAGGGAAACGGTCTTAAATGTAATTATTGTGCTTTATTTCACACCAGAACCAGAACCATAACACAAACTTCTAAACAATGAGAACAATAAATAAAATAAATGACAAGAATTCGTATTAAATCAAATTAATACTTTTCTTACAGACAGGCCTCGTGGTGTCCGTAGGCTTGCCCTCACTTTCGGAGATATAGCTCAAATACATCAATTTCACTTCTGGCGTCTTTTTTGTCAACAAGCCGAGGCGCAGCGGCAGTTGCACTCCCACTTGCAGCCATGCTTCTCATTTTCTCACATGCTCTGGTAGCTAGCGCGTGCACGAGAGAGGTGAGGACCTTAGAGCGTGCACGAGAGGGGAGGGACTGCAGGCACGGCTGCAGTGCAGGGAGTGGAAGCAGAGCGCTGAACACACACGGCTCTTATTAAAACGGCTCTTTCTCACCGGAGTACTTTCCCCCGTCATTCTTAAAGTACTGATACTAATGAAACGGAAGAATCGTAACGTTTTTAACGGCAGGGTATCGCGGTAGCTTTCAAGTATCGGTACACCGTGCAACACTAGTATAGACATTGGGTACTACTGTATATATATATTAGAAATTGTCTAAAGTAGCTGTTTTTTTATTACAATTGATATCTAAATGTATCTTTGGAAACTGGATGACAGAACACATATATTATATGTAAATAGTTGCACAATTACAATTCTACCCATTTTAAACGTTCAAATCTGAAAAGGGTATTAAAAAAAAAGATGCTATATTCTGAATTAACACTCAGCAAGGAATCGCATCACACGCATACTCACCAAGACGACACACATCACAAGAATAATCATGCCAACGACTCCAGTGAAGGGGATAAGGTAGTACGAGAGCGGGAACGCAAACTCTGGCTTGAGGATCACATAGGCCCTGCAGACACAAACATTACCATGAGCACTCGTGTTGGTCTGTGCTAACGGGTGTGAGAGGCTGGTTTGGTCAAGTGTTTTTATTTCTGAAAGTGTTTTCATTTACCCTTGTTCTGGAATTATGAAATTCCTGAGAATTTGGGAGGCATAGTAGCTGGTGAACACAGAGGGGATGTCAATAGCTTCGGCCATAGTCTCTGGAGAATAAGGACAAAACAAGACAAGATTCACTTTATTGCCATTTTACTAAGATGGTGTAAAGTTTGTACATTTTAGACGAGAGAATTACCATTGCTGTAGTTCATGTTGAGCAGAGTGTCAGAGTACAGGTTGTGGACGATCACTGCACTGTATCCAGCCAGCTGTGCGTTCAAGACCTGAAACAACAGTTCCACACATTAGACCTGTTTTCTTCACAGACACTAACACGCATACATGTCAGTCAATGTACTGACCTTAATAATAATAAATACATTTCATTTATATAGCACACTTTAAAAGCAACATCGTCTCCAGGTGCTTCACAATGCTATGAGGGGGAAATAAAACAGGAAGTGATCTAAGAAGCATATTGAATATACCTTAGTGTCAAAAGTGCAGTCATAGCGCCGGATAAGTGCGATGAATTTGGTAGTGTTGGCATCATACATTGGTGGCAATGCAGGCGGAGGGTCTATTATTGTACAGCCATTTAGAGGACGGGTCACAGTCAGAACTCCCTTTAACACAAAGAAAGAAAAGTAATTGATTAGTGAAGGACTTGTACTTTTATGTATGCACGCTTTTTCTCGAATACTCTGCTCTCACCATTATTCCATCCTTAGGAAGTGGGGAGCCAAACAAGGCCGGGAGGTCCTCGAACAACATGGAGGTACTGTTGTTATAATGCTGCAAAAACAACATAAGACCTGAAATTACCTCCAGAAGAATTTGAGGAATCTTATTTATAGCTTAAGTTAAATGATACTTACAGCATAGATATAGGCATGTGTGGGTAAGGGTACCATTACGCAGCCAAAGAACAACACAAGGACACTCAGAGGAGCGCCCGCTGACACACCGAGGCGAGCCATCGCTGCTCCCCCACAGCTGAACTGTAAACAAAATGAAACAACACATTTTAGTCAACTGTAAAAAAATGAGTCCCAACAGAGGAAATGCTTTGGGTCAGGTTGAAGCTGATCTAGCAGTTTGAATACAGCCTGGCATTAGCATACCAATGGAAATAGACAATGCAGGTGATAAAACGGTGTAAACAAAACCAAAGTTATGCAAACAAGGAGCAGTGTTACTGGCTCACCGGCTCTTTTGTCATTCAGTAGCAGAGACAAACTAAGCCCGGCACTTTATAAACGTGATTCTGTTTCTTTGTCAGATTTTAAAGTATCCTCTGAATACTAGGCTTTTACAAAACAAAGGACACATCATGCATAAAACACTAAGTGACTTTACCTGCAGACACTTTATCAATTCACTGCAAAGCAATTCCGATAATGTAGTCCTTTAAAATAGAACTTAAACAAATAAAACATATTTTTGTTTAACATCTTGCCATTAAATCTGTTTATGTTCAAATTACACCTCACCTTTAGAGGACTGCTGTTTTTGTTTCAAGTGTATTTTTGGTCCTTGTATTTCTAATCTGGATTATAGTTAGCCCTGGGCTTGTGGTGGAGAAGATCTAGAGATTGTCACACAGAACTCGCAGTCTCCTCGTCTTACAATCTGATTTGTAATGTATGATAAACAAAACATTTAGAAAGGGGGTCTTTATGCAGTTTTGCATAAGGAAATTACAAACACCAGGGTTCATACACTTTTTCACCAATGACTTCTCCATGACCGTTACCTAATTTTCCATGACCAAAAACATTACTCTTTCTCAGCGGTACCACTGAAAATGGTTTATTTTAACAAGGAACAGGAAAATAAGGTCTGCATGTGAAACATGTGGTTCCTATCTAAAACAAATCAAATAGGCTTACTAGCTTCTAGACGCTAAAGCAACTCAAAGCTCTCACCAGCAAAATACCTCGACAGTTTACGTTTCATTACTATACGATACAGTATTTATTATCATTATAGTATTATTATTTCGGCGATTAGCTAAAATATAAATTATGTTTGATGGAACCTTAGTTACATTTCCATGAGTTTTCCAAAACTGCGAAAAATATTGTTTTCCATAACTTTTCTAGGGCCTGGAATTTGCATTTTGAATTTCCATGACTTTTCCAGGTTTTTAATGACCGTAAGAACCCTGAAACACATTTATGTCACATCTGCTTCTTTAGGACTGCCGTTTCTATTTACATTCAACAGTAACTCAATTCTTTAGAGAAAATCATATTCAAGAGGAAGACTGCATTAGGCTTCAGTGATGCTTCAGCGATGCTCATGTTGTTTGTGCTTGTAGGCAAGACAAAAAAAAACCATGGACGTGTTCACGTGTGCTGGGGCCTATTCTGTATGTAGGCTTCCACAAGAGATTAGCAAACACGTAACTCTTCCCGTATGTTTAATCAACGTCACACATATGTTTGTTGCACTAATACAGCGACTGAATACATGTGCTGCTGCTATGTACCTTAAGTCAATAATAAACCTGTTACTTATGTGGCTAACTATTGTATCCTCACCACGTCCTGACACATTACTTAGCTACTGCTTGGAGGCGATTAGCTATAATTAGTTAGGTTAAAGTAGACTGACCTGCTGAACTGTCGTAAACCTACAGTATTATTGTTAACTTCAATATCATAGTCCCATTCGAAAAATACAGGAAACTATCAAAGTCATCGCGGTAATAGTTAACGTTATTGTGCGTATTTTAGTTAGCCACATACCTTAGTATCCTGCTAATATCGCCACCGTAAACGTTGTGATGTAATCCCCGTCGTCTCACTTGGGTTTGTCACCGTGTAAAAAAAAAAGTTTTCATATAAATTATCTCCTTTCTCGTCAATCCTATAATTTTACAGAAAACGACAAAGACAGGAAGGATTAACGTTAGCTGTTGTTTGGCTAGTGTTAGCTGATGTTAGTTCCGTGACAGATACTACAGGTCTTCTTTGTAGTCTTTATACATCCAATCATACACGATAATTATCAATTAAGAAAAATACAATGTTTGTCTACCTGGAAGGAGATGCTTTTCCTGTGTGCTCGGTTTCCCTAAATTGCGTTAAACTAGGGGTTAGGTGTGTTTGTTATTGCTTTTGCTGCCTAGCTCTTCTTCGTGTTGAAACGGTAGATCACCTTCACTCTGCACCACAGCGCCACCAGCGGCCACAACAACACACTGCATGTTCTTAATAAACAATGCACAGATTCAAGATTCAAAGTTTTTATTGTTATACGCACAAAACTACAATGTAGAAAAGGCAATGTAATGCTTCTGACCTGAGCTCCTCCAACAATGCAACATATATAATAAAATACAAAATAAAAAGTAGTGCAAAAAGTCTGCATGTCAATAGAACATGTGCAAGAACAGAATATGAAATTAAACAAAATTAAATACAGTTTATTGCGGTGATAACTATGTATATAAATGAGTATATTGCAAGATGACAACGGGAAGGTTTATCGGGGCACTTAACAGAGCTCAGGTGTTAAGCAGTCTTATGGCTGTGGGATAAAACTGTCCCAGTGGGCATCTGTGGCCTTTTTTGGATCTTTGACGTCCAACAACCATGGTTTAAATAAATTCAAGATTCAAGGGTTTTATTGTCATATGCACAGAAGTTACAGACTACAGTGTTGTTATGACAATGACAATCTTAAGTCACAAGCTCCTCCAACAATGCAACATGTATAGGACATAAGACAAATACAAAAGTAAAAATAGTGCAAAATGAAACAGAGTAGGTAGGATATATAATAATACAATAGTGCAGGTTGTGTTGCAAGACAAGTGTGCAAGTAGTGCAGATGAAGTTAGTTAGTTAGTTGTTTTGTACATGTCAGAACAAAAAAAAATACAATAAGCTAAATGATGCAGAGAATGTTGAAAGTGATCAACTAAATACAAATATCATAGTTGGTGAAAACTCAACGGAGTGAAATAACTTTGAAATGATCTGATTATTTTATCTTACATTTGTGTGATATTAAGGGCATGTTGAAGTTTCACAAGGCTACATTTCATATAAACAGTGGTAGACAGACACTGACAGGTTTCACTGCATTCAAATGAACAGAAAACAATCATGAAGGCACCTGTTTACAGACCAGCATCCACATATCACATAAATGAATTTCCCTCTACTGCACATGTCAGTAGCATGTTATAGGTGCCTTTTAGAATAAATAGAGCACAAATGCATCTCGTGTTTTAGAATGACAATTATTTATTGAATCTTTATTTTCAAGAAAAAACTGACCCCGACGTGATTTGAACACGCAACCTTCTGATCTGGAGTCAGACGCGCTACCGTTGCGCCACGAGGTCCTGCATTCCACACTGTAAAAAATGGGAATTTATACGATATGACTTTAATGAATTTTGTTTTCTAGTCAGTATTGTTTCAGAGTATATACCGGAAAAACAATCAACAACAGACGCATCGTTACTAAATTATAGGGAAAGGCTAAGTGATCCACTGTTCAGAACATGAGGAAGTATGAAGACAGTGAACACGGCAGCACTAACCAAGGACTATCTAACTTGAAATGATCTGTAATCATAAGTGGTAGACTGTTAAAGAATATATTCGAATCGGTTTCAATGCGAAGTATCCTTCCCTGATGGTCTAGTGGTTAGGATTCGGCGCTCTCACCGCCGCGGCCCGGGTTCGATTCCCGGTCAGGGAACTACACTTTTCTATTTTTTATTTTAAACCTTCATGATTCACTTTTTTAAAATCAATTTGAAAACATGCACACGCATTTTACAACAGTAAACATAAATAGCAGGTAAAAAAAAAAGTGCACAGTTTATATAAAGAAAAATATTGCATTGTAAAAATATCAACAGTAACACTCTTGTAGTATGTGGACAGCTGAGGTACTAGTCATCTGATCATTGATCAATCATTAATACAGGACAGATTGGTGTGTAGTGTGTACTGTTTCTGCTGTGTATCTTCCTTTCTCTGCAGAGCGATTGCGTGTCTTGGCTGCTGCAGAAAATTCGGTCAAGTTAAAAGAAACAAGTAGAACAGACACGGATATCAGGTAATCATCTCTACCCTTCAAAATAAAAATATACAAGTAATCAGAAACAGGTATATTGCCAAGTAGGTTAACACATGAGGAATTTGTTGTTTTTGGTGCATACGTAAAAATAAACCAAAAATTAAAACACTGATAAAAAACTATTTTAAGAAAACTATAATAACATTACAAATATTTACACCTAATATGGTTGAAATACAAGTATACCTGTACAAATAAAATACGAATAAAATACAGTATGTGCAATTACAATGTGCAAACACACACATATATATATATATATATATATATATATATTATATGTATAATATGTCACTTCTAAAATCAATCTTTTTTACCTAGAGCCAGTGGTGGAAGAAATACTCAGATCTTCATGAGTTAAAGTAATACACTTCAACTGCCCCGGATAAACATCTGGCACTTTCAAAAGTCTCAAGATGCCTGGAACACATACACTTGAGGAGCAATAACTCCCTATACTAAATAGCAGCAAATCAGAGGCCATTCTGATTGGAACAACACATCAAATGCAAAAAGTTTCACACCTAGGCTCGTTACAAGTGGGGAGAGGGAAATGGAGTGGCCATAGGCGCTTTCACACCGGAGTACTTTTCCCAGGAATAGTTCCGATAGTTCCTGGGATTTTGCATTCACACCAAATAGATCTGGAACTAAAATGTAAACCGATCTTTTTCATATGGGTGTTTAGAGTTGTACCCCCTAGACCTAATCAATAGTAATTGTGTAATCAAAGTGCACCAGATTGCATTGCATTTTACCTTAAAATGTTCAAACATTTCTTCCCCGGGGGGCATACCCCCGGACCCCCCTAGCGGTTCCCAACCTGTGGGCCGCGGTGCCCTAGTGGTCCGCAAAGGCATTGCAAGTGGGCCGCCAAATAATATATATTTCTTTTTTTCTTTTTTTTTGTACAGGCTAAAGACACAAACATGGACATAACAATAACATATAGGAGATGACATTCCCATCTCAGACAAAAACAAAAGCAGGAGAAATAAAGATACAGTCAGTAGGATCACTTCAACATTTCACAAACAAAAAAGGTTGACAACCAAATACCACCAAAAACACAATATGGTGAGCATATGTATTGTTCCTTTGATCCCACTCTTCGTTAGAGCTCATTATTTCCCATTTCATGGCAGGTTGAGCCACCCTCTGATTTTTTGTGGCAATACGTTTTTCCAAAATAATTTGTATTTTTAATCTACTCTTCAAACACCTTAAATTAAGATTACTCCTTGATTGATTTTTAAAAATATGTATTTTAGCCTGTGTGCGGTCTTCATTTAAAATCCCAAATAAAATATTAAAGCCTGTAAATATAAAGTAAATATTTGCCGCCAAATAATTTGCAAAACATTATGATTTGCGAGGAAACATAGATTTTTTGTTTTTTTTAATCCTCTTTTCCTTTCTCTTTCTTGATCCTCCTTGGCAACGATCATTACAGTCCTTGACATCGGTCTGTTATACTGGATTTACAACGTGTCACATGTTCTGAATTGACCAATCAGAACTTTATTTAGCCTCCGTATTGTTTATGGTTGAATGAATGAATTCTTAAGTGGGCTCTGAGCTGAAAAAGGTTGGGAACCGCTGCCCTAGAGGATGTGACGTCCACCCCCCAATTAAAACATGTTCATACAATACTGAATACATTTGAAACCTTTTTGATGTATACCTATGTCAATAAGTTTCTGTTTTTGTAGTGTATTCGTCTTTTGTAGAGATTTTTCATTTATTCTTTATATATTTTATTGTGTATTCCTTTGATACTTTTATCTTTTCTACTGTACGATTGAGGTAAATGGGGGAAGCGTTTAACCTTAGCTTGAGAGCTGCGTTTTTCTTTCTCACAAAACTGTGTCTCAGGGCTTCTTAATAATTAAAAACCTATTAATGTGTCATACCAGATTAACGGGAATACACTCAGTTTACTGACAGTATGAACCATTTTTACCAAAACAAAGCACAAGTCTCATAAAAAGCGTCTAAATGACCCCTGAGCAAAAAACTGCTGACGCACTTAGCACAGAACTCAAGGTAAAAATACCCTTATTACTTGTCGTAACTGCACATACAAGACATCCGATTAAAGCTGAGATTCCACAGATAATATAGGTATTAGTATCATCACTGAGCAATCAGAACTCGTGACAGGAAGCAAACACAGACGTCACAACACGTAGCATTACGGAGCAAACACGGGAGATCGTCTCACCTTAGCTGTTATTCTGATCAAAAGTCGTGTTTTATTGCATTAAAACGATAAAAACGCTGCTAAAGGTTAATCCAATGTGTCTGTCACTTCAGAGATTTTAAATTAGCTGCTAATGTAGCCTCGAAGCTTCCGGTTCAGGGGCATTCTGGCTGCGCAGCACTCATTCACTAATGGGTAAGGTTTAGATGGATTTTAGGAACTTCCCCTCGATTCTATTGGCTGAGATGTCAATCATCAAAATCGAACGAGGGGGGCCAGAGATATGGAAAATGTACCCAAATGACCCCAGTGGTTTGTTTTTTCTAAATCTCTCTAAAAGAAGGTCAAATTGTACTTGTTTTGCATCAATCTTGATACAGGGTACTTATTATATGTTATAGTTTGGATTCCTAAAGCTTTTAGTCTACCATCCCATCATTCAAGGGTGGTTTTCACAATAAGTAATCTTTTCTTTTGGACGGACACTATCATTTAAATTGTTTTACTATGTTCAATCTGAATTTAATTTAAAATAAAAAACATCTATATTGATTCTGACACTTCTACATCCAACTCACAGATGTAACCTTGCTTTGAGAAAAAAGATTATTAATTTACCCCTTTTAAAAGTGAAGATATGGTCATTTGTTCTGGGAATGTCATTTTCGAGCCTGAGACCTGAAAAACAGGCTCAGGGCGTTTCAACAACAGCCATTTACTTCAAAGATTTTTCTCAATTTTATTCTTATTTTTGGTAATCCTGGAAGAATGCCAGAAAAAAAGACATTCTCTTCAACAATACAAAAACATGACATTAGTAACTGTGATACAAAATTA